TACTTCGATTTTAAAAGCTTTTTAACAAAAAAAGAACGAAGTACTAAAATATTGTAATTATGTTTTATTATTATGTGTTGAATCAAAAGATTTAACCAAAAAAAATTATTACTGTAGTATACAATGCAAACTATAATTAGGCTTGTTAGAAAATAGTTTAATTGTACTATACAAAACATGTATTACTGTATTAATTGAATTAATAAAAGGCCACGGTGTATAAGTTTTGTTTTTTTATTAAAAATAAAGCTAATCATATATAGTAGATAAGAACAAAAAAAAAGATACAAAAAATCAATTATCTCACGAACCATCAATCAGAATTATATAATTTTGGTACTATTCGATTTGTCTCATTGAGATGAGTCAAACTGTACCAAAATTATATAATTCTGATCAATGGTTTGCGAGATAATTGGTTTTTTGTGTCTTTTTTTGTCAAATTCGTTTCCTTTCTTAGTACCAGGCCCATATTATTATTATGAATTCTTGTAAAGTGTTGTTCATGCAATAAATTATAACATAGCAAATATGTAAATATTAGAAGAATATAAATTTACTGTGGATATAGGTTGCTATATATTAAAAAAAATCTTATTAGCAAATTGCAATCTATATACTGTAAAATAGTTTTTCTTAATTTACTCTATAATTTTATAAGATACCCTTTATTCAAAGATGCATTTCACAAAAAGTTCTTATCTGTGCATATCTAACAAGCCATTTTTTATGTCAAGATCTTAAAAACTCAAAAGATTCTTGCAAAAGAAGGCAAAACAATTGCTTATCTTCGAAGGTGTTTCACATTACCTGGTAATGTTAGTTCTTTATATTCTTTATGCTATTTGTTTTGTTGAAGCTCTGGCAATCTATTTCTTAAGAAACATTATGTGTTGTGACTAAGACTTGGGAAAAAATTTTTAAAACTATGATTTCATCAATTTGTGTAATTTATAAAAATCATATGATAATAAATTAGATGTGATATCTTGATTAACTAATAATATGTAACTTTATTTATCACACTAAAACTACAGTATTACTGCAAATTCTGATTTTCAGCCAATTTATTGTTCAGTTTATAGAAGTTGACACTAATGATGCCTAACGAATAATGCAACCTGCATTATTGGTGTATGATGAAATCATTTTGTTAGGTAACTTCAAGTTGACTTATGACACATGATGAAGCTTATGAAATTTATGAAAACTATAATAAATAACAAAAACTCATGATATTTCAATAAAACATGAGATTATTATTCATTCCTTTTATAATAGAAGTAAATTAGACCATGTGAAGTTAATTTTTTTGTTATTTTATTTTTGATACGTCAATCTGGTATTTTCCGATAGCTTGCGAGGATCACCCACATATGTTCTTCTGTGAACTAGGGTTGGGGCATGGCATAGCACCCTAAACTATCATATAAAAATTACTAGTAAACCATTACATATAATTACATAGTAATTTATCTTAGCATCACAGCCTCGTGCTCATGTGATGATTTGAAATTATGCCTCACCAGCAATACCTAGCCCAGTGTTGTCAATTAGATAGTTTTTAACAGTTTTAATAGTTTTGGACATCTAAAAAGTTGTCTAAAACTGTCCAATTGACAACACTGCCCTAGCTCTACTATCTGTATAAGAGCTTGACTTCTAAGCCCTTAATTTAGAGCTCAAAATTTGATTCTCTAGCCTGGCCAACAAAACTCACAGGTACTCATGGGCTTATTATTATTAATAGAAAGATTGTTCCAAATTAGATCAGCTAGAATAGAATGAGTTTTAAATTTATAGTATGCTTGCAATTGGTTGCTTAATTATTTAATTTTGATTTTTGTCAGCTCAGATTTAGTATAACACTTATTTAACCAAATAATAACCCTCTATTGCCAGTTTTTAATTTACATTACAGTACATAATATATTAAATAACATATATTTGATCATGTATTTAGCTCATACATCTAATTATCAATCTCATTACATTAATTTCTCTGTTTATATCTATCCATTTTTGAATTGATATTGTCTAAATTTTGGGATTAGAACTATTTGACTATTTAAAAATTGCACTATAGTTCTGGCAGAATTATGTTGGTTATGGGCCAGAATTATTTTAATGCTGGCCAAATTAAATAGTTAAATAATTAAATGATTAATAAAATTTTTGGGCAGTTCCAATCCTTATCTAGATTACATATCAAACACCATACTTTATCTTCTTTACAATGCATATATTTACTATAATTATAGAATTTTATATTTTATTTTTTTTATTATATATTCATTTTTAGTTCACTAACTATAGTCAACTCTTTCTAAATACATGTCTTCTAAGTGCAACTTCTCTCTAAATGCAATTAAATAGTCTGGTCCTGTATTGGGACTTATAACATAAATGCAGGTTCTTTATTTTCAATTTTTTAAATGCAGAATTTTTTTTAGTCAGCATATATAAAATTATTTTCTCTAATTTCAAAACATTTTATTAGCTAATTAAATTGGCTTATTTAATTAAGGTTTTTTTTTCTAAGTACAAGATATTTTTTTAACTTATAATTTAAAGAAAATTAATTATATATTAATTTAGTTTTCTTTAAATGCAAGTATTTTCTAAATACAAATATTTTGCTGGTCCATTGACTTGCAATTAGAAAGAGTTTACTATAATTAATACAAATAAATGCAAATCAATAGATTTATTAGTTTTTTTAGATACTTAAATTAATAAATATTCATTATAGATACTGTATTTACTAATTATATTAGATAGTAATTTTCATTAAATTAATAAATAAATTTTAAATACTTAATAAGTTATAGTTATTATATGAGTTGTAAAAAATAACTAAATTTGTATGGGTTAAGTTACATGGCCAAAGGTTATATAACTTCATGCAAAATTTAGTTATTTTATAACTCATATAATAACTGTCACAGATTAAAATAAAATCAGATTAAAATGAAATGGGGAACCTCTCTTGCTCCCCTTTAAAGCTTATAAAACCCACTTATACTCTTTTTTTCATAAATCTAACACTAAACTCTAACCCTAACTCTAACCATAACCCTAAAAAATGTCACCAAAATTTTTTAAATCGTCCCTAAAAAATATTAAAATTTTATTTTAAACTGATTTTATTTTAATCTGTCACAATAACTATTTTATTGCACAGTATTTGATGTACAATCTATAGATAGCAGTGAAATTACCCTTTTTAATAAAAAATTTTTGTCAAAATTGTCAAAATTATTGATGTTAAAATTGGTAAAATTAGTTTTTAATCCTAAAAATTAAATTAAATTATATCAAAAATTAATTAAAACTAAACTAAATCAAATACAATAGTTATTTATATTAAACTTATAAAAATATTAACAACATTGAAATTATTATTAAAATTATTGTTGAAATTAAAAAAATTAAAAATAAATTTTACCACCATCTATAGTACAATCACATACTAATAAGTAAATGAAAAAAGTATAGATTGTTATATATGCAATAATTATTCTTTACATTTATGATCTAAAATAAAATTATAAATGATAATTATTCACAATATTGAGTAGCAGTATGAAATAATAGGAATTGAAATTTATATAAAACATAAATAATAGGTATTTGTAGACATAGTAGTACTACCTAATCTCTACATATTTGTGTAAAAGCTTAGTTTTTTGAACTTTTACTCTTATTCTAGAGCTTGGGATTTGATACTATCCCTTCGGATACAATTCGGATTAATATCAGCCTACAAGACATATCGACAAACTGATAGCTTAATAGATAAATCGATAGAGCTTATCTTATAGCGCTATCGATTTACTTATTGAGCTATCGGTTTGTCAATATGTCTTGTATGCTGATATTAATCCAAATTGTATCCTATAGGTATCTTATTTCTGCCAAATATCTGTTTCAAATTGGGTTCATATCATGATCTTGTAATGCCGATTTGAACCCGATTTGCCTTATTTCAACTTGTGTAAATCTCAGCAAAATTCTATTCTCTTGAGAATAAAGTAGTGAACAAAAGATTTTAAAAAATTTTTTTGGTTGGTCTAAAGTATTTATTTTTATTAATATTTAGATTTTTTAGACTTTTTTTTTTTTTTACTACAGTAGCAAAAAGAATTTTGAATGTGTATAAATAAATACTTTCACTTAACAATTATTTGATTTTTTTTTTTTTGAAGAAAAACTAAAACGATTTTGCAGCTGCCTTAAGGTGCTATGATCTAGTTTGCCCAATTAAAGACAGTATTTTATGCGTCCAATCACAACTGGTGGGGGAAATTAGGGCTCCCAGTGCAATTATTTGCAATTATTTCATCATTACAGCAGTTTTTATTCTAACTGGAACAGCTAATAAAAAATCGTAATTAGTTAGACCATATCCAAAATCAAAGTGAATCAAAAAACTTAACAAGCTGGTATATAATTATTTGATTAATTTTTTATCAGCTGCCTCAATTAGAATGATAACTGCTATAATTGGCTATAATTATTTTTAAAATAATTTTAATTAGTAGTATTCAAGTTATATAGGAAGAAGCAACTAATTTTTCGGCACTCATGATATTATATAACTATCTGGATAATTATTCAGATGGATCCAATATTTTGATAGGTATCCAGATTTAGCATCTGCAAATTAAATTAAGTATCTAAATGATCTGCGGATATCCAGATATTTAGTTAAACAGATCCCAACAATATAATTTGAAGCTCACAACTATGTCTACATGATAATAAAGCTACTTTTTTAAATAGTTTATTAATTATCACAGCTGATGCTGAAAATAGCTGATGCTGAAATTTGGTGTCTCTATTTAAATCTATAATACCTACTAAAATCCACATATACATTTTTATTAATTATTGCAGCTGAATAACCATATATAATATAAAATACAGGTTTATCATTATTACATTTGACTAGATTATAAATTCCAATCAAACTTTGCTGCAGCTTCTAACCAATTCTGCTAACACATTAATGCTGTTACTGTGTCTGGGTCTAATGAAGTACGAACATCATTGTTAATATGCCCTGCACAGCTAAACATTTGTTCGGATGCTACACTGGTAGATGGTATTGCAAGAAAGTCTTGAGCCATGGCTAAC